CTAGAATGCTAATTGTGACAGATGACAGATGCGACGTAGACGGAAACCTGCGTACCTGCAAGCCCGCACGCTTCCTGCAATAACCTTTTTAGAAGCCAAAAAAACGCCCCGCCAACACACGCGCACACATGCGTGCACCTTCACAAAATGAACCCATGAGCGCTCACAAACCCGCAAGCGGCACAACTCAAGCAGCGCAAACAAACAGACAACTCTATAATAGACTAGACTCTAGACAAACGCGAGACGCGGGCGCACCCGCCTATGCCTGTTACCGTGCTGGGACCCACCTCCATTTGTTCAAACACATTTATATACATGGCGCAACAGGACAAACAGGACGTGGACATAGTATAGGACAGCGCAAGACCGGACAGGAAACGACAGAATAGGTCGGATAGGAAAGGACAGGAGGGGACAGATGCATCCATGCACGCATACATACATGCATACATGCGGCATACCTGCATATGCAAACGCATTCAGACATACGCATGTATGCATAGATGCCTGCATACATCCAGACATACATACAGACATACATACACACACACAGGAATACATGTATGCATACATGCATACATTGCAGAGACATCCTGCGCGTGCCCGCAGCGGTAGGTAGGGGTTCGGGCGGTGTGCAGATTCGGAGCACCGCGTATATTATGATATAGTTCTATATTTACAAGCATGGCGGCCAAGAGTTTTGTCAGGTTTATGATGTGGGAAATGATATTGTTTCGTGTGCACCGTGTTGTTTCTACGAGGGGGACATCTGAATCTTGGACCTGGGACCAGCTGATTTTGCATATCCTTTTTTGGGTGAACATTACTGTCACCAGCGGAGCCGATGACCGGCAGCCAGTAGTAGATGCCATGCCCTACGTTTGGTGAGGTGGTGAGCGATTGTAGCTTTTGATTTTGTGACAAAAATTGGCATTGTTACGTTGCTTGTCTGATAAGGTAGCCGTTCAGGCAACATTTGACTTGCGGGTGGACAATTTCAGATTTGTTCGAATTCCAGCCCTGAGCCCCCTGCTTCACCGAACTCTTTCGTTCTTTGGTCAGTGCAGTTGCCATTGCTGTGATTCCAGCAGGGACAAGACGTCAGCAGAAACCGCAAAAAAAAAACAATTTGTTCGCGTCAGGTGTGACCAGTCAGTGACCAGTCACCAGTCAGTGTATGATTAGTGACTAGTGATCAACCGATCTTGACAGCTTGGCCTCAATCGTGCTTTCTCATTTGCCATTTCTTTACTGCTATCAGCATGTCAGCAGTGCACTGATTATATATTTTGTTCACATGCGTACAAAGGAGGTTCTCCCGTTCCAGTGATCTGTGTGTCTCAGTTTCTGATTTCATGCGCGTTTTGTTGCCAGCAGCTGCCAGCATATGGACCGTTCCCAAAGCACATTGATCCTCGAGGTCTGGAACAGTCTTGACTCTTATAGGTCTTGAGGCACGTGACGTAGTGACGTAGTTTTCCATCTCCGTCATGGGCATGCTGAAAAGGAAAAACAATGACGAACAAAAGGCCAGGCCCAGATGGATTCTTTTCTCAGAATCGAGATTTTGCCATATCCAGTTTAGCCACAGTCTATAACATAGGAGAGGCTCCCGCAGCTTCCGGATTTCACAGGTTTCCCCAACAGAATCTGAAAGCCAAATCTTTTCATCGTAGTTTCGGGATGCTGGAGTCTGCTGGAGGCGGCGGCTAAGAGTTTGCGAGTGAAGAAAGAGCCGACGGAGCCCGCGACTTCTACCGCATCGAGTACTCGAGCAGCTACAGCTAGCTCTGTCGCTCCTTCCGCTTCCGGAGGTGGCGGCACTTCTACGACTACGACGAGGGCGAGGGGAAAAACAAAACCAGGCCCAGCCTTGGTTTCGTGCTTGAAGTGCGGTAAGACCAACGAGGACCGAGGCCCCGACCCAGACATCCATATATCGTGTAGAGTGTAGAGTCTAGAGATTCAAGTAGATTCGCCAGGTAAGTTTCTCTTAGACCACATGCCATTTTCCTTGACAGCTACACCTTCTTTCGTGCTGCGTGATATTTGAAAACATTGCTTGTATGGTTTGACTTACCCTTGGCCTTGGGTGCTGGGTCGCCCAAAGTTACTTGTCATTTTCATTTCGCTTTTCTTACCCCCCACAGCCGCAGGAAGTCACATTCCGCCTGGGGCCAGACGGCTCCCCACTCCGTGATGGCTGCGATGCCTGCCATGCATCAATCACTCAAGGCTGTGCGCTGAAATGGCAGGATGGTGTGAAGATCTATTTGGACCGATCGCATCCCGAGCATGAGGAGGTGAAGAAGGCTGCTGACACCGCTCACGCCACTTTTCTGGCCAGAGAAAGTGGTGATCCGGCTCCTGTGAAGCCACCAGGAGAAGTCTGCACCCACTCCGCATCCGGACGGATCCATTACTACGATGTGGGGTTCATACCGGAGCAGGACTTGACCCGGCACTGCAAGGGACTTTCCATGAAGGCTTTGAACGTGAATTTGGTGGAGCGTCCCAAAGAAGATGGGTCAGGGACACTATCCGGGGTCTATGTCCACTTGGGTTCTCTGTCCCGCATGTCATTTGCTGAGCTTCTCGGCTTGAGAAAAACGCGCCTTTGGACTCAAGAATCCCAGGGCTACAAGGAAACCATCATGGGTGCTGCTGATCAGTTGTGCCAAGAGCAAGGCGTCCGGACTTTCAAGCTTGCCCGGAATGCTGAAGTTGGAAACCGGAATGCCGCTCTGAAATGCTCAGGTCCGGCAGACCAAGGGTTTGTGAACTTAGACAACTTGATCGAGAAAGCTGAGAAAATGATTGCAGAAAGAGAAGCAAATGAGGGTGCACGAGGGGATGATTCGCCAGATCGGAAGCCAGAGTTGTTCACAGTGGACGATGACGATGATGGGCCGCGGCTAGGGCAGCAGGCTCAACAAGCAAGCCGCCCAACCAAAACAAAGGTGAAACGTACAGCGCAGAAGAAGCGAGGCAAGAGTGTCTCGCCTGCACCATCTCGTGGCAAGGCTTCTTCTGGCGGCGCTCACCGTGACAAGGCCCAGGCTGTGGCTACGATCAAGATGGAGCCAGAACTTGCCACCAAGATCAAGAAGGAAGACCCTGAATTGTTCGAGGTCATCACGGTGCTGCAGTATTATCCTGATTGCTTCCAGAACCTCACAATCGAGCAGTCCTTTCAACCGAAGCTCGGGAGATCCATCCACCAGGAGCAAAGTTAGGGTTACGAAACTGTTAGGGAGGGGCTCGGGCCGGCTGCTTTGGCTGACTCTGGCTCTTTCTCTTTCTCTCTCATTTTCTTTCTTTCTTTGTGTCTGCCTGTCTGTCTTTCTTTCTGTCTGTATGTCTGCCTTTCTTTCTGTCTGTATGTCTGCCTTTCTTTCTTTCTTTCTTTCTTTTCTTTTCTTTCTTTCTTTCTTTCTCCCTCTCTCTCTCTCTCTCGCTTGCTCTTTGGCTTTGGCTCGCTCTCTCTCTCTCTCTCTCTTCCTCTCTCTGCTGGCTCTCTCTCTCTCTCTCTTTCTCTTTCTCTTTCTCTTTCTCTTTCTCTCTCTCTCTCTCTGTATGTCTGTCTGCCTTTCTGCCTCTCTGCTTCTCTCTCTCTCTCTCTTTCATTCCTCTCTCCCTACCCCTCCCGTTCCCTTAAGCATCACTTCATCATCCTCTCTAGATCTCTCTAGTGACTCTCGTATCTTGTTACTTTTTTGATAGTTAGGGCCAGGGCCTGGATGGGCTTAAGGCGATACCTTGTCCAAAGTTTCGGATAGTTGACTCTGTCCAAAGGTTTTAAATGCTGCCTGTGTCTGCTTGCTATGCTTGGCAGGCCGGCCGAATCTTGGAGACTATGGAGAAATCTGGCGCACGACAAGCTCACATTCTTCGGACCAGAATCAAGTATTGCCAGTTTGCCCAGACCCTGACGCTGTTGCTGGACAAGAATCCGAAACTCCCAAAAGATTTCGACCAGAAGCTTCGAGAGGCCATGAACGGGCTGGTGGCGAAGGACGTGCAATTCCCTTTTGAGATCCAGGTCGCTCTGCTACAGCGAGAAGCCAGAGAAGTGATGAAAACGGCTTTGGACAACTTCGAGGCCCAGAAGGATGAAGAGTGTGAGGCAGGAGTGGCAACCCTGACCGAGCTCCTTGCGCCTGTGGCTTTGAAGGGGGAGAAGGCAGACACATTCAATCCTATGAAGCCTGCTGTCGCCTCCTTGTTGGCCAACTTGCTGGACGCAGAAGCGTCCACTCTCGTCCCTGTGGACGCGTTGTTGATCGTGGAGACGGATGAGGACGGCAACGAGCTGGAGAAGTCCCGTGCAGAGATCTTGGAGAAACGCTTTCAGGACCGTTTCTCGAAGTGTTCAAGGGCAAAAGTCAAGAGGGGCTTCCGTTTTTATTTGCTGCTGGAGTCTATAGAGTCTAGAGTCTAGCCGCTAGTCACAAATCACGCATGACTAGTAACTTACATAATCTAGTTGTCCTTGGCACATGAGCATTTCTTCAAGATCTTGTGACCTGTTGGTTATCTTGGCTTTCGAACGTCAATGTAAATTCTACAGTGTCATGTCATGCTGGCTAGCAAAAGTTGGCCAACGAAAAAGACGTTGTCTGGGGTTTTGGGCAGCAACTTGCTCGAAGGAACTTGCAGAACGAATCATTGAATCGTTTGCGTCCTCCACATTCTTCAAAATCCTGCAAAAGGGGGACAAGAACAATTACAACGTCCTTCTGGACTGCATTTTGCAGTCCGCGGCCGAGATGTTCAAGGACCCGGGCGTGTGTGGCACTTTGACCACCTTGGCTGAGAAGGGGCAAGAGTCCCATGGTGTGCAATCTGTCGTGGACAGCTACGGCTTGATCAAATCCATCATCAACGGATTGTTGGCCTTGCTCACCCCACTCCCAGAAACTTTGGGGCTGAGCGCCAAAGACGTGGCCAATTTGACAGATCCATCTGTGAAGTTTACTACGCCGTTGTTCAATTCCATGAAGTCCAGTATTGAGGAATCCCTCGTCGAGAACCAGTTCTGGCAAGAGGCAATCAATGAGACGCAGAGAACGGCGGCCACCTCAAAGGTGCATGCTCCAGAGATCCAGGAACAGAGGAAGAAACTGAAGAAGTATGTCCAAGCGTCTGCTGAGTCTACTGATGTGGACCACCGCGCGGGCATGCAGATAGTCGTGCCCACTTTGCAGGGATTTTCGGAACTCCACAAGAAGCTGAAAACAGGTGCTTTGGATGAGCTCCAAAATGCAGTCTTGCAAGCAATGAGAAAGCTCACTCGGTTCATCACCAGTGCCACTGACGTCACTTGCGAGGAGGTCCCCGTAGACATGGTTGCGCCTTTGATTGAGGGTTTGGAGAGCTTTGCTGCCGTTGTCGGCATTCCGGAGGCTGTTGAGTTGCAACAGCATTTGGAAGCTTGGTATGCCAAGTCTGAGGCAGACATTTTGCGAGCCCGAATCCAAAGCAGCTTGGAAGGGGCATCGTCCAAGCTCGCTGCTGCCACCTCGGGCGGCGCTCAGGAGCTTCTGATCGATTGGCCTTTGCTTGCAGAGGAAGTCCCCAAGCTGCCCTCTTTGCCGGAGTCTTTGATCGCAGCCTTTGATTCTGCAATGAACGCTATTGCTTGCGATCTATGTTGCCAGGCCGGGGTGGGAGAAGACAAAGCTGCTTGGGCTGCTTGGGGCTTGGGGCCCCTTCAACAGTAATTTCCCGGGTCGGCACCCCAAACTTCCCCCAAGAAGGGCGAACTTGAGTGCCTCGAGGTCTGGTCCTTGCTAAACGGATCCAAAAGGTGAAAGTGTTGTAATTTGTGAATACGGGTGTGTCCTTTGCAGGCCGAAAGTTTTAAAGACATTGAATACATAGCATCATGGTCAGAATATCTGGGGAAATAAAGTAAAACTAAATAGAGACGCTCCAAATACCAGAGATTTGACACAATATTTGTGCGTCCATTATATACGCCCATTATCCCATTGTGCTTCCATTATTTTCCCAAGATATTCCCACCGCAGTCCCGGTGTGCTCCGGCTATATTCCCATAGACTTCCCATCACGTTCGTATGGTTTTTCCGAATATAATCGCCTTCCCATTGTGCCCCAATGATATTTCCATTCTTGTATTCCCAGCGTGTTCCCGTTCATAAGCCCCATGGTACACCCATGATCTTCCCATTGATTTCCCATTATACTACTAGTAACTATATATTCCTAGCATATGCCAATTGTATTCCCACTTTGTTCCCACATGTTCCCACCATATTTTCATTTTATTCCCATCGTGTTCCCACCATATTCCCGTTATTCCTTTAGTGTTCGCATTATACTGTAATCATACCGTTTCTTATTTTACTCCCGTTAAATTTCCTCTGTGTTCCCATCACATTAGCAGATCAATGCGCACGATTGTTTCCAAGCTTCTTGATTCTTACCAAGACAGGATTCGGTCATTTTTTGGACACACCCTGATGGCAGGTCAAGCGGCCAGACTTCCAGCAGGATGCAGCCAAGCAGATTGACAGCGTCATGAAGAAGGTTTTGCCACACTCCGACCACCCGTTGAAGGGAGTGGTGGAAGCCTTGATTGTGCTAGCTCATGATTGTGCCGCTTGTCGAGCTGCCATCAGCAAGTATACCGGTCTGGGACGCAGCGTGGAGCACAGGCTGCAGCGTGACCCCGTCAACGGCTACCTCATGACCGCGGCCAGAACCTACATGAGTTTGGCCCAATCCATCGCGTCCTTCGAGCCACTCACTTGACAACTGGCTCCCTTTTTTTCCCTGATTGAGTCATTACCTGTGTCCGGCTTCTTTTTACCGACTCAGTGACCGAGTATCATATAGTAAAGCAATTAAGTAAGTAGAAGTAGAAGTAAGTCAATAAGCAAGCAAGTAAATATTTATTGTACCTCTAAGACTAAGATCCTCGACTTTGATTGTTGGAATTGCGCCCAGTCATGCACTTCACATCCACTCGCCGGCATTGTTTTTGTGACCTAAGGTTGGCTCGGGACAAAGCATTGGAATGCATGCTGGAGGACGACTCTTCACACGTCTTGCAGGTGCTGCAAGTGGACATCGCGTCGGAGCTGTCGGGCATTCGTAAGGATGCATCGTCTTTGGCACTTGCTGTTGATGCAATCATGAAGGCCCGGGCCAGTGATGTTCAAGGCGTATTGCAAAAATGCGAAGAAGCATCCCTGGGCATGACCAGGGGGGGCGCCTCTGATTGGAAACAAGGAATTAAAGACGAGAATGACTTGGCTGAGGTTAGTGCGGTAGCCAGCAAGACTCTGGAAAAGGTGGATGGTGCCTCCCTTGGGCAGCAGCTCGAGGCGTGCCGCCAGGCCAGGATTTCTGCATTGTGTTTTTTTCGCGGCAAAATCTATAAGGCCAAACCTGAAGTTAAGTAACTGTTTTGGACAAGGGGCCCGCTAATTTTCGGCCAAGGTAGATCCGAGTAGACTCACTAAATTCAAA